TCGTTGGCCAAGGAAGATGCGAGCTCGGATAAGCCTGTTACCGAGGAAATGGAGTCACTTGGCCGAGGATGAATGCGAGTCCGGACAAGAGAGTGAGTGAGTTGACAAGCTCGGACAAGGGAAAGATGGTTGTTGGCTGAGGATTGCAAGCAATCCGGACAAAGGGGTGAGCGAGGAAGCTAAGTCCTTGGCCGAGGAAACTCAAACCCAGACAAAGCTGCTTCCGAGTAAAGACTAAATCGGCTAAAAGGGTTATGCGAGAAAGCCAAATCGGATGCCTTGATGTCTGAGGATGTTGAGTCCGGGTGCGAGAATGAGCTATCAAGATTACAAATCGGCTAAGACTATGAGCGATTTGCTCCCTAATCCGGTCAAGCTGATAGACGATTTAGAGAGAAAAATTTACAAGACCAAATCCGGATGAACACGACTAAAACCGTGCAAACAATCCAAATCCGGACAAGCTTATGTCCGGATTACAAGTTAAAAAAATGGCAAAGTCTAATTCGTGTAACCCTTTGAGCGATATACGAAGAATCCGTTCATCCTTGTGATCGATTTACCTTAAGTCCGGTCAAGCTATAGAGAGAATAACCAAGATGAAAATTTTGGCTAAGTCAAAAACCGGCTATAAGTTGAGAGAGGTTGGTCCGATTTAAGCTAAGTCTTGTGAGCGATTTCGATTAAGAATCCGGGTAAGACATGAATACAGGGAACTTTGAATCCGATCAAAAAGTGAACGATTTAGATCAAATTTAATTCGATCAAAACGCACAAAAACACAAAAACTTCAACTTTTTACTCAAAAAATGGATCAAAACTGACTTTTTTATGAAATATTGAAGAACATCGAAAAATTTTAAAACCACAAATTTTACCAAATCTTGAAATTTGATGATCAAATCATAAAATCGTGTAAATAACAAAGATTCACGATTCAAATACGCACACTTTGATCACGTTTTTAACACCAAAACTCAAAATTTTGAAAAATTTTCGGATTAAAATCTTTAAAAGATTAAGAACACTATGAACAAAAAGATGAATATGATGAATTCCAGAAACATTTCTTCAAACAATCTTCAAATCAGTTGATTTCTTCTCGTGATTTCTTGCATAACCTGCTCTGATACCAAATGTGAGTCCACAATGTGATCAATCTTCTTTATGTCTTCTAAGAATCCATGACAGATTAAGATAAACTTGTAAGAACACTTGAAGGAGAGTTGCGAGAATTAGTCAACACGTCAATGCTCTATTAACTCTCAAATATGTACGTATTATTACAACGAAAGCTCCCTGCTCACTATTACACTAAAGACAAATTTATATATAAGGTCAAACTAGGAACCCTTATAGTCAAAGCCAAAAATACAAGGAAAGTCAAACACGATATCTTTACAATTGTAGACAAATATTAAATTTCAAGATGAATACAATTTAACACTGAAATTCAGATCCAACAAGATATTACTTAATATGTTTTGGTACATTTGACATTAATTTTGTTAGATTCAATTTTTTTTTGTTTTCCATTTTGTTAATTATTATATAATAATGTATATTTTTTGTATTAAATTAAATTTCTTTTGATTTTAGGTTTATTAGAAAAATATGAGATTTAAACATGTATAGCGTTTCACACATTTGATTTAATTTTTTTTTACACAAACATGAAAAAAAAAATCCCCGTTCCCCATCGGGGACGGGGATGGGGATGTGATCAAATTCCCCGGTGGGGATGGGGACGGGGATGGGGATGTGATCAAATTCCCCGGTGGGGATGAGGACGGGGACGAGGACAAAGATCGGGGATCGGGGACAGGGAATGGGGTCCCCACCCCATTACCATCCCTATTGGCCCATGCTAACTCTAACCATGAACTTCTTATAAATATCCTCTTGCATATCCTTCATTTTTATATGGTCTTTCAATTAGTTCTCTAACATAATGCTTTATAATCCAGTTCGGTGTCACTAAGGATCTGAAACAATAGTTCCTATTACATATATGGCTACTACTGATGCTTTTAATCTAAAATGACCTCTCTTCTGGCATCCAAGATGCCCATAATCTAAAAGGACATGCGTGATCTTTTTGACCTTTTTCCACATGTAACAAGTAGTCTCTCTGAATCAATTTTTATATAATTTAGTTGGTAGTCATTTGCAACCGAAAAGTTTGTCAAACACTATTTCAATTGACAAGGATTCTCAGATCTCTCACTAAGTTGTGGCTTCATCAATTTCCAATGAACATTAGGATCATGTATCAACATCGGGCCGAACCTCGTCACCAACTTGATTGCAAAGCTTGTACAAAAATCGATCATCACTTGTTTTCTTTAGATTGATTATATCATCCTCGTTTTCAAAGTCTAACGATAAAGTATCTGACATATATTCACTTGAATCATCACTTACCTCATACGAAGGTTCATCATTACAATCGTCACTACAATCATATGCCATCCTATAAACAAAAATAGCAATGAGATCATCATAATTCTCACATGAAAACAAAATCGAATAAGAATGATTAAATTGTAAATTACAAGTGGATGTAAATGGAAATAATCAGGATTCATGTTCAATACTTGAGCAATTGGAAGCAAATGGAAACCAATTATAAATTACCACAGTAAATGTGTTTAAAAAGTTGAACCAAATAGAAGCAAGTCTAAGAAGCAAGTTCGTATCAAGTATGAAAAATAAATATGAAACTCAGACCATGAAAAACAAAGCCAAAAATTGAAAATTAAACCTTAACTAGGAACAAGATCGAACCTTAACTATATTCATAGAGCTTGAAATAAGAAAAATTGAACCTTAACTATATTCATAGAACCTGAAATATGAAAAATCGAACCTGAAAATCGACGATGGCTGGTGGAGACAATGACTAGTGGGCGGTAGGCTGGTGGCGACGGTGATTAGTAGGCGGTAGGCTGGTGGCGACGATGATTAGTGGGCGGTAGGCTGGTGGTGACGAAAGAAGAGGGAGGTGACGAGAAGAAGAGGGAGGCGATGGAGGGATTGGTGGTTGACGTTAGTTTTTTAGGGTATAGTTAATTAATTTTTTTTCCTTTTTTACCTTTAGAATTACCTATCAAACCGGTAACATGTAAACATGGCTGGTAGAAATGATGTATCTAATCAGTTTTAAATAGTTTAAGGATTTTATCATTTAAAAAAATAATTTAAGAACTTAACCATTCAAATTCAGATAGTTTGATGGGTTTTTTTCCAGACTTTTTTCTATTAATTATTATAATTTTGTACCTTATCTTTTTTTTTAAATAAATTATTAAAAAAATTTAATGGGAAACGCCATAATCAAGATTTAAAAAGTAATAAATACCAAATTTTATCAATTTCGCACAACGATCTCCACAATTTTGGGGGTGGGTCTTGATCGTGACATGATCCAACCAGGGCCGTCCCTGGGGAGGGTGGGCCGGGCGTACGCCTAGGACCCATAAAAATTAGGGGCCCAATTTTTTAATATATATAATAGTAGTTCAAAAAAATTAGTAAATATAAAACAAGTAAAAAATTAGTATCTAATATGACAAGAAAATATTTTTATACTACATTAACTATTAAAGACTCAAACATGTATGAATTAAATATATTGGAGAAAAAAATACATAAAGATGTTAATCTGTCGTCCATTATATAATATTGTTTAATATTTTTCTAAGTTTTTTGATCTAAAACCGACGTCTAAAACTATTTGCTTCGAAAAACTTTGATATATTCTCCATAATTTATCTCCCATCGACTCTTTTGATTGTTCCATTCTTGCGTGAATTCTATTTTTATATTAAAATATAATAGATTTTTTTGTTATTAGCTAACAAAACCCCCATCTTTTAAAAAAATTACCAACCATATAAGACGGTACAACTCATATCTATATTTAGAATAATAAAACTATAATTGTTTTTTCATAGTTGTTCTTTATTATATAATATTTAGTGTATAAATCTTATGTATTATTCTATCTCTAAAAGAAGAATAAGATCTTAAACTATTACCAACATGAGTTTTTAATTTATATAATTGATGATTCCATAAAAGTTTGTTTTAACCCTAACTCTATGTTCTTGAGTCTTCTTCTACGTAGGAAAGAGAGGAAAGTAATGGTGGAAGAAAAATATTCTGTTCTCGAGATTTTTTAGAGAAAGAGAAGAAAAAGGAAAGGAAAAAATTTATATCAAAATTTATTTTTATTTTATTATTTTTCCTTCCTCTCTCTTCTCTATTAAAAACACAAATAAAAAACTTAAATTTTCTTCTTTCCTTTTATTTTTCTTTTCTTTTCTCATTCTTTCTTTCCTTCCCAAATTCAAAAACATAATATAAAAGTTTAAAATGGTGTTAATCATCCCAAATTCGAAAACATAGTATAAAAGTTTAAAATGGTGTTAATCTTCCCAAATTCGAAAACATAATATAAAGGTTTAAAATGGTGTTAATCTTCCCAAATTCGAAAACATAATATAAAAGTTTAAAATGATGTTAAAAAACATTAACATGAGATGACATGGAAAACCAACCTATTTATATTGATTTACATAGTGTCACTCGGAAATCAGAAAAATCGACTTTGTGACTCCAAATGATATATTCTATGTACCAAAAGTATACCATAAGATGTTTTTGATGATGAAACAAATTATTGATACTACAAAAAAATGTTCTAGTAGATAATATTAATTTAGAAATGAATATTGATTGATTATGCGTCCTGGAATACTTTGAGAAACGGTTTTATATGAATTCAACGTTATTTCTGATAATAAAAACAATATATTGAAAAAATATCGTACTTATCGAGAACCCCTTTTTACATCTAGCTCAGGACCTAAAAAAAAATATCAGAAACGGACCTGGATCCAACAGTACGCATCTCGTGGGTAGGTGACATCCACCGGTCGTCGGTAGATCTTCTCTCCCGCCATTACTTTAATAATCACTGAACACAGTGACACCCCATTAAAAAAAGTCGATATCCAATGATTCTATCAACATTTATTCAAAGCATTTCGAACTAAATCTGGGTTTTGCCAATTGGGGTTTTCAAGATTTTCTCAAAATCTAACTGAACTCCACGATGAACAGTGTGGGTGTAAAATATGGGGGATTTTGCAGGGTGTTGTATGTTGTGTGTCTGGGTCAATTGACCTCTTTTTCAATGGCCCTTATGAGCTTCAATTCATCTTTATCTGCTAATCTAGGTTAAACCCCCTATTTTCCCTCCACAATTCTTGATAGGGTTATCTGGGTTTTTTTTATTTCTCCTAGTAAATGATTGTTTCTTCTGTTTTTTTAGGTGTTAATGCTCCGTTTACTCTGTCATTCTTCTCTTATTTGGCTTTGACTTTGGTCTTTGGAAGCATCTTGTTGTACCGTCGTCAAAAGCTGCAAGTAAGTTCCCCATGGACTCTGAAACTTGATCAGAAGCTATTAAAAATGCTTTTTATTTGCTTGTGTTTGTGATGAATCTTGATTGTGGTTTGCAGATTTCTTGGTCTTGATTGTGATGAATCTTCATTTTCTGCTAAAAATGAAGTGTTTTTTATGTGTTTCTACAGATATCTTGGTATTGGTATGTACTGATAGCATTTGTAGATGTCCAAGGGAATTATCTTGGTAAGTAATAGTTTTGGGTTTGCAAGATTCATTTTTGCTTCCAGAAAAAAGACACTTTCTTGAAATACCATTTTGAGGTCAAATGGGTAATTTTCAACTTCACAATTGCAATGAAATCTTTACTGTTCTTGGAACAATTTGGTAACAACATTGAACTTGATGAGATGATTTCTAGATACAGAGCTTTTGGTGTTACATTTCAAACTTGAAAACCAATTTCCTTGACCTCAAAAGTCAAACCATGGCTATAAGTAAGTAACTATTTTGGTGGTTGATCACAGTTAACAAAGCATACCAGTTTTCTTCGATCACCAGTGTGACGCTTCTCGATTGCTGGACAGTCGTTTGGGTCATAATTCTCACTTGGCTTTTTCTCGGCACAAAGTATTCCCTATGGCAGTTTTTTGGGGCAGCTCTATGTGTTACAGGACTATGTTTGGTGTTGCTTTCTGATTCCGGGGTGGGAGGTGGAGGTAAGAATACAAGCAGGAACTAAATCACGTTCCTTTAACATCTCCCACTTTCAAACGATACCTGTTTTGGTAATTCAGGTGGCTCGAATCCTATTCTGGGTGATATACTTGTGATTGCTGGAACATGTTTTTTTGCAGCAAGCAATGTTGGTGAGGTTAGTTGTAATGTTGTCAAATGTACTTACATTCTCATGGTCTAACAATTGGTGGAAAACATAGAGCTAACCTTGTACCCGTATATCCAATACGCAGGAATTTTGTGTAAAGAAGGTTGGTCGGATTGAAGTAATAACAATGTTTGGTTTATTTGGAATGCTTGTGAGCGTAGTTGAGATGTATCCTTTTTTGGTAATTTAACGGGCAACCACAAGTGTGGGGTTCAATCTCCAGGGGCTATTTACTAAACACTTATAACCTCTTACCAGGTAACTAAATATTTATTGCCTCTTACCGGGTAAGAGACGATTACCCTGTCAGAGATGATGGTCTTTACCAACAATGTTACCGTTCCATTTTTGCTGATTAAGAATCTTACCCTGCGAGGGTGCTGACTCTTACCTGGTCAGAGATGATGGTGCTTACCAACAATCTTACAATGTCATTTTGGTGATAATGAATCTTATCTGGTAAGATAAGTGAGGGCGGTGACCTTTATCCGTTCAGCACTTACCCAGTTTCTACTGGTAAACGGCCCCTTAGTTATTCTGTTGTAGAAGAACATTTGTTGGTTTTCCGTAATCATCCTTTAGGGCTCTATTTGAGAGGAAGAATCTTGAATCTGTATCCTGGTCTCCAGAAGTTGTAAGTGAATGTCTTTAAATAGGTTTGGCGTACGTCGTACCCCTAGACCTACCTCCTGGTAGTTTGGTTTGGTTTGGTTTTACAGAACTGGTTTATGAAAACGCATGTTTTAAAGCCGAGAAACACCATTTTTATCTTATTATTGTGGAATTAGTGTTACCAAATGCATTTTCACTTTGTTATCAAACAGAATTTACGACTTTGTTTACATGCTAAATCGGTAAACAGGAAATGTATGTGTTACCAAACCAGACCTAACTTTCTAAAACGATGTTGGTCTTCGCACTTCTTCTCTTTTGACCACGATCTTATCTTTCAGATTTTAACCTTTGTTGGTTACGGTATAGCGGGCTCTATGTTCTATTCTTTGACGCCTCTTGTTCTACAGGTTCGTTAAATTCTTCATCTGACATATGATACTACAACTAAATCGGGTTTATAGGATGCCAAGAATGTCGAAGTGTCCTAATAAACTATGTTATAGGACTTAAGTTTATGGGACAAGTAATTGTGCATCACTGCAGTCTATGTAAAAGTGTTGCAATAAGTTTATAGGACATTTTGTGTATCTTAACAAGTTTTTAGGTTCCTTTTGAAGTAAAACATCCCACTTAATTGTTTTTATATAACATTATTTACAAAAAGATGTGCTTATAAGACACTTTCAAAAAACTAATACGACACTTTATTTTATAGTGTTCTAAAAAACCTGTTAAGACTTGAGACGCCCAAAATATTCTATAAACTTATTGTAGCACTTTTATATAGGACGTATAATTGTTTGGTCTATAAAGCAGTCTATTAGGACTCTTAGACATTTTTGGCATCCTATAAACCCGATTCTGTTGTAAACGTTAAAACCTTACTGATTTAGTCTTATAAACGAAATTATGCAGGCGAGTGGAGCCACATTGTTCAATCTGTCATTACTCACAGCCGATATGTGGACAGTCGTCATTCGTGTGTTTTTATATCACCAGAAGGTAATTTTTCCGAGTGAACAGTCGAGACTCACTTTAACTCGTTTCCTTTTCCCATCACTTTGACAATATACTCGTTGCAGGTGGACTGGTTATACTACGTGTCCTTTTTACTCGTTGGTATCGGTCTTGTCGTATACTCAAAAACGTAAGTCCTATTCTCGTATGGCTTCTATTATTTCGTTGGTTCATTTTACTTGGTGACGATATATAGTATAAACAGATAAAAATGGATCAATAGGGAGCTTACTAGGCTAATGAAACTGTACTTGTTTACAGGGATAAGTATTCCAATGAGTTACCCAAGCTCGAGGATGGTGACACCGACCAACTGAGCCGGCTGCTACCCGAGGAAGCTGTTCGAGTCTAGAGTTGAGGCCACGATTGCATCAAATCCGTAACAATGTGTTAATTTCAGCATCTCAATACGCAATATGTCCGATGTAGAATGAATGGCTACACAGATAGAAGAGCAGATTCATCGTTGTCGCGCCAAACCCTGTTTTTATTTCAGATTTGGCGTTCGGTGTCCAATCAACCGTTAGAACTGCTTTTTATTATTTTCTAGATTTTTTTGTTATGTATTCTTTTTGTGTTTTGGACATTATTTAGTTTCCTTAGGAGCTCAGTATATATATCGAACATATGTGAAAACCATAACGCCGTTACAAATTTGACGCGACCATGGGCTCGACTCCAGATCGTAAAGGTCTCGTTTGCTCTACGGGATTGGATTGGATTGGATTAGATTAAAGGGATTTAGAATTATTTCAATTTCATGATGGGTTTGAATAATTTCTTGGCTGGGTGCTCAAAATACCAGCTAACCCAAACTTAAGAAACTTAAAAGAACGAGGTAATCTGACATATAGTTGATATAAAATTAAGTCAAATTACACATATTGGGTTGGAAATAGGTTAGGGTAATTTGAACTCAACCCAACCCATTAAACCCGATAGTCTTTCTATATTATGAATTTTATATGATTGTTAAGTTATTAAATTAATACATGTGCAGTAGACATTAGACCAACCCGTAGTTAGTTATATTCAAAATTATATTATAATTTCAACCATAATAATTTCTTATTTGCATGAAACTTCAACTTTTTTTGAGTTCGTTGGCCTTTTGTATATATTTTTATTTTACTTCTTTTAAACATAAACGATTAGCTAGATTGTAAAATGATATATCAAAGTTTCAACCCGAATAACCTACAGGGTTTGGGTTGGGTTGTAGTTTTGATTGAATTAGGTTGGATTGAGATTTTTCAAACCGCAAATGTTGGATTATTTTGTTCAAATGCTTTCAACCCGGACAACCAACTCATTGACAGCCCTATTTTTTAGATTTGAAACATGGAGATTTCATTGACATCTCACAAATATAGGATTTTAAAATCCTGTGTTTAACGAGATTCCGTAAGAAATGTGCAATCTCATCCAAACTTGATCACCACACACACGAACCGAAATTTCATCTGCTACATGATACATTACTATTGGTCAATGTTATATTTTTATTTTATATAACTTATCTGATAAAAAATGACTTTAACAAAAAAATATATATATATACCAAAATTCATGGTTTTCAATTCCCTACAAATAGAGCCTAGTATTAACATATTTTCATCACACCGATCTTTCTATTTCATTTCAATCATCTTGTTATGACAAAAATTCAGTCATGATAATTAACTACGATTATTTTTAATTTCATATATGTAATTCCATACTTATTTTTGTGACTTGTTTTATTTAATTTCTATTGTATAGTAAGTTTTCTACAAATATAATTACGTTTTAAAATATGTAATGATCTATTTATTTCATTCTTATACTAAAATTTCAGAATTAATAATTATACATAGAAAAAGTTAAATATATAATTTTTACAAAATAATATTGTAGACTAAACTGAATTGGAAGAGATTATGTTAAATGATAAAAGAAGTAACGTTGAATTGAAGTTAAACGGTTAAAGATTGAATAGATGAATAGTAAAAAAAATAATATTTTAATTGAAATTGAGCAAGGGGGTTGATATCCCCACCCCCTACATCACTTTTCACCCCCTCCTCCTCACACCAACCCTCACTCTCACCCTCACAACTTTTCCTCACTCTCACACTCACACTCACATACTCACCCCCTAGACAATCTCACCCTCCTCACATGCACCCATAGGAGGGGGTGGGGTTAGAAAAACCCATTATTAATTCTAGGGCTGTAAACGAACCGAACGAACACGAACGGAGTCTTGTTCATGTTCGTTCGTTTAACTTAACCGAACAAACGAACGAACACGAACGGTAAACGAACGGAAATCTTTGTGTTCGTGTTCGTTCGTTTAAAAATAAGGTGTGTTCGTGTTCGTTTATGTCCGTTCGTTAACATGCTAAACGAACGTAAACGAACGAACATAAACGAACGGGCTAAACGAACATAAACGAACAAGTTAAACGAACATAAATAAATATTATTTGATTTCAAAGTAAATAAATAAAAGATTATATATTAAATTTAATATATAAATGAACATAAACGAACATAAACGAACGAATATAAACGAACATAAACGAACGGTAATGAACGAACATTCACGAACATAAATGAACGAACGAGACTCTTGTTCATGTTCGTTCGTTTAACTAAACGAACAAAAAAATTTGTTCATGTTCGTTCATTTATTAAATAAACGAACATAAACGAACTTCCCGCCGAACGGTTCACGAACGGTTCACGAACGGTTCGCTGAACGTTCGGTTCGTTTACAGCCCTAATTAATTCTAAACAAAGATGATAAATATTTGTAGAATAAAAAAAAAATAAAAGAGGTATTTATGAAACAATATTTGTTTCCCAAAATATATTTATTTGAATATAATTTGTCGTATTCGAAATTCAAAGATACGAAAGTAGGCAAAGAAGTTTTCAGTTAGGCAGAATCTTGGAGTGTGTCTTGGTCGTGATGTGGTCCAACGGAAAGCAAGTGTCGAGCCGACCGGGTTGGTACATCCACCGGTCGTCGGCAGATCTTCTCTCCCGCCATTACTTTCCGAGTATTTAACAATCACTGCACAATCCTGAAACCCAGGTTGATATCCAGTTATACTATCAACGTTTGTAAGTGAAATCCTTTCATGTTGAACTGAAACTTGTTTTTTCCGATTGGGGTTTTATGGAATTTCTCAAAATCTAATTGAAATGCAGCAGACTGATCGTCAGTTCCACCATGACCAAGCTGGATGTAAACCATGGGGGTTTTTGGAGGGTTTTGTATGTTTTGTTGCTGGGTCAATTGGCGTCTTTTTCATTGGCCTTTATGAGCTTCAATTCATCTCTCTCTGCTAATCTAGGTTAAAACCACTGTTTTCTTTTGACAACTTAAACCAATTCTCTTCATAGGGTTTATCTGAGCTTCTATCACTCTGTAATTTGATTGTTTCTTTTGGTGTTCTAGGTGTTAATGCTCCATTTACTTTGGCATTTTTCTCTTATTTGGCTGTGACATCAGTGTTTGGAAGCATCTTGCTGTACCGTCGTCAAAAGCTACATGTAAGTTCTCATGGGAACTTAATCAGAATCTGTGAGGCTTCGTTATCTTTTCAAAATGATCTTTACTTCTTCGTGTTTGTGATGAATCTTGATTGTGGTTTTACAGATTTCTTGGTATTGGTATGTCCTCTTAGCAGTTGCAGATGTCCAAGGCGGTTATCTTGGTAAGTATTAGTTTTGGGCAAACATGCTTGTCTCTACCTTCTAGTCAATGTACTTCCAATTGAAATTCTCTTACAAAGTAGAGCTAACTTCTTGTATGTGAATTGATTTCAATGGAATAGTGAAACCCCATGATTGAAATCTTACAAATATTCTAAGTAAATAATTATTCTTGTGGCTCATCACAGTTAACAAAGCATACCAGTTTTCTTCCATCACCAGCGTGACAATACTCGATTGTGCAACAGTCGTTTGGGTCATAATTCTCACGTGGCTCTTTCTTGGCACAAAGTATTCCTTATGGCAGTTTCTTGGGGCAGCTCTATGTGTTACAGGACTATGTTTAGTGCTGCTTTCTGATTCCGAGGTGGGAGGTGGAGGTAAGAATACAAGTAGGAACGAAAGGAGGTAAATCACTTTCCTTTGACATCTCCCACTTTCAAACGATACCTGTTTTGGTAATTCAGGTGGCTCGAATCCTATTCTGGGTGATATACTTGTGATTGCTGGGACATGTTGTTTTGCATTGACCAATGTTAGTGAGGTTAGTCGTAATGTCTCCATTTATACTTGCATTCTACGAGTGACGGAAAACATAGAGCTAATTTGTACCATACATTGAATATGCAGGAATTTTGTGTTAAGAAGGTCGGTCGGATTGAAGTAATAACAATGCTTGGTTTATTTGGAATGCTTGTGAGCTTAATCGAGATGTATCCTTTTTTGTTCAATGTCTGGTTGAAGTTACCTTTCCTGCATAAACTACCAAAGGGGTGAGTGTATTTAGTTACTCTGAGGAAGAAGAACATGTGTCAGTTTTCCATAACCATCCCTTAGTTAATCGAGATGTATCCTTTATGTTTTGTTCTTTCGCACCTCTTGTTCTACAGGTTTGTTAAATTTCCATCTGATGAAAGAAAAACGTTAAAACCTTATTGATCGAGTCTTGTAAACAAATTTATGCAGGCAAGTGGAGCCACACTATTCAATCTATCATTACTGACAGCCGATATGTGGGCAGTGGCCATTCGTGTGCTTTTATACCGCCAGAAGGTAATCTTTCGGAATTCACAGTTGGGAATCACCATAACTCATTTCCTTTTCCCATCACTTTGACCATATACTCGTAGCAGGTTGACCGGTTGTACTATGTGTCCTTCTTACTCGTTGGTATCGGTCTCTTTATATATACGAAAATGTAAGTCCTGTTCTCTTCCGGACATCTATTATTTCGTTGGTCACGTCCTTCCTATTCTAATCTGGGTTCACAAATTTACTTGGTATAGGGAGAAGCATACCAATGAGTTACCAGAACTTGAGAATGGTGAAACTGACCAACCGTACCAGCAGCTACCAGCGGAATCCGTCCACGTCTAGATTTAAGTCCAAGGCTGCATCAAATTCGTAACAGTGTGTTAGTTTCAGCAGCATAATAGGCATATATTGCCCAACTCAAGGGCCAGACATTGTATGTATAAAAGACGACGTAAAAATTTATAAATGAACAAATTTTGCCCCTGTGGTGGTTATATTCTTAGCGGACTTGGGGAATGTTTGGTTGGTTTTTCTAACTCTTGTATGGATAAAGTTATCTGTGTGAATTAATTTGTGATTGAGAAGATTTTTATCTGTGGGAGTCTTTTTTATAGATGGAAGGAGCGGTGTGTTTTTAATTGGGCGGGATTGGAATGGAATCCAATTCGAAATCCCACCAAATCTTGCAAACCAAATGCGTTACTGTTCAACTTTACAGTTGGAATGGAATCCTTGATATTGCAAACCATGCCTTAATTCAGACGACCTGTAAATCTTACATAGATACTACCAAGTCCCTTGTTGTTGATGATGCTCAACAAGTTCGTTCTTCTGCTACACTGACAGTCTTCCTATTGTTTAGATATCATTTACCTTACTGATTGAGTATGTCGTGGACCGAGCTTCTTATGCGGCAAGGACCGAGAGTCTTACCCGGTAAGTGATTGAAATAGGTCTTACCCAATAAGCATTTATCAGGTTTAATACACTTACCAACAATCTATTTTGATGGTTGATAACGTTTACATGATAGTATAAGTGAGGATGATATTTCTTGTCGGTAAACGTATGGTAATCGGGCCCCAGGTAGAATATGACCTTTCTCAAGAGTCTTGAACCTTTACAAATATCTTGAACATGTCTGTTTGTTTGAAGGCGGAATCGGAATCAGAAGTAAAAGGAATAGATTTGGAAGAACCACGTGGACAAACCACATGGACCAAAATTGTAGTTTACTTAAATTAGAATTCAAACATGTTATAAATGCCAACAAAAGTAGTTTTCAATTTGGATGTAGTGTAAAACCATAATGGTGGTGTCTGATTGGTTTAAGCTTGGCTTCAAAGGTTAAAAGTGTCTCGATGTCTCATGTTCAGATCCAAGGAGAAATAAAAATCCTTTTGTGGCCACAAAGGTTCAAATGCAGCAACTCCGGACTACCCGTAAAGCATATAGTCGTTCTATGATTAGTCGGCTCGCATAACAAGTTGGATATCTAGGTTGATAGAAAAATGGGGGTGTCTTGTTAGAGCATCTCAACAGAATCTTCAAAATAGCAAAACACAAAGATTTTGTATAATTTTTTTATTTCAGTAGATTTTTTTAAATGAAGAAAGAATTCTCTTCAAATAATTACATGATATTTTTTTTATTTTATTTCAAAATAAAAAATCTTAAAATTAAATCAATATTTTATTAAAGGGGTTTTTGGAATTGCTTATTTGAAACAACTTATATTCTTCTACAAAAGCAGTTATTAACTTATTATAAATCATAAAGGTTTAATTTCTTCAAAAACTCTTTATTACCGGTTTGACACCGGGATAAGTTGTTTATCCAAACACACAAAAATACTTATTATCAAACTAAACAAAAATTAGTCAATAAGTTATTTTTATAAACAATCTCAAACAACCCCTAAATCTAAGAAATATTTTAATGATACAAGAGGGTTTATTATCTAAATTGAAAAAGATGTTAGAGAAATTGGTAGGAGATAGTTTATCCAACGGAATGCAACTTGTGGTTCTTCCGCCATTTACTCTACCTGTAATACTACTATCAGTTACAATCGGAACACTGACAACCCATTAAAGAGTGTACATCCAAATGATACTCTCACAATAAAAATCCTTTCATTCTGGTTTGGGGTTTTCAAGAAATCTGATTCAACTGCACTCATCGACATCATGGGTTCCAGCATAAGCAGGGTGGGTGTAAAGTACATGGGGTTGTGGAGGGTGTTTTACGCTGTGTTGCTGGGTCAATTCACATCTTTTTCAATGGCTGTCATGTGCTTCAATTCATCTCTATCTGCTAATCTAGGTTAAACATCCACCCTATTTTCCTTCCACAAATTGGGTTTATCTGGGATTTTATTTCTCCCTGTGATTTGAATGTTCCTTTTGCTTCCTGTAGGTGTTAATGCGCCATTTACTCTGTCATTCTTCGCTTATTTGGCTATGACATTGGTTTTCGGAAGCATCTTGTTGTACCGTCGTCAAAAGCCACATGTAAGTTGTCATGAACTCTGAAACTTGATGAAGCCTCTATTTCTGTTAGAAATGGTCCTTATTTGTTTCTGATGAATCTTGATTTTTGTTTACAAGATTTCTTGGTGTTGATTGTGATGAATCCTTATATTTCTTTGTGTTTTTACAGATTTCTTGGTATTGGTATGTACTATTAGCATTTGTAGACGTCCAAGGCAGTTATCTTGGTAAGTAACAGTAACATGCTAAGCAACTGTAGACAACCCAAAATGACATTACTTGTTGCAACCATATTATTTCACATGTGACAGCTGCAATGGTGTTGAATTCAGCCTCTGTGGAAGATCTAGAAACAGTAGATTGTTTCTTAGATCTCTGAGATATCAAAAGCCAATAACAGTCTAGTCTAGTATTAGGACGTTCAGCCCGATCTGAACCATTGAAAACCTTGAAGAAGATGGTGGCTTGATAGAATTAGCATCCCAGGCTGCATCACTGGAACCCCATAACTGAATAGAAAGGGTTGGTGTTACATTAGAATGCAATCAGTTGCATTTGAACATGATAAATATGTCTATTCTTGTACTTGAATTGATTAAACTCTTACAATATCATAAGTAAGTAATTATTTTTATGGCTGATCACAGTTAACACATCATACCAGTTTTCTTCAGTCACCAGCGTGACACTACTCGATTGCACTACAGTCGTTTGGGTCATACTTCTCACTTGGATCTTTCTCGGCACCAAGTATTCCATATGGCAGTTTTTTGGGGCAGCTCTATGTGTTACAGGTCTATGTTTAGTGCTGCTTTCTGATTCCGGGGTAGGAGGTGGAGGTAAGAATACAAATAGGAACGAAAGGAGGTAAATTGCTTTTCTTAACACGTCCCACTTTCAAGTGATGTTTGTTTTGGTACTACTTCAGGTGGCTCCAATCCTATTTTGGGTGATGTACTTGTGATTGCTGCGACATGTTTTTTTGCATTTAGCAATGTTGGTGAGGAATTTTGTGTTAAGAAGGTCGGTCAGATTGAAGTAATAACAATGTTTGGTTTGTTTGGAATGCTTTTGAGCGTAGTTGAGATGTATCCTTTTTTTTTGTTTAACGTTGGTTTGAAGAACATGTGTCGGTTTTCCATAACAATCCTTCTAGGGTCATATTTGAGAGGAAGAGTCTCGAATCCGTATCCTGGTCTCCACAAGTTGTAAGTGAATGTATTTCTTGAAACCAACAAAACACCATCTTTTGACCACAATCTTATCTTTCAGATTTTAACCTTTGCCGGTTATGGGATAGCAGGCTTTATGTACTATTCTTTGACCCCTCTTGTTCTACAGGTTTGTTAAATTCTCCATCTGATGAAAGAAAAACATGAAAACCTTATTGATTCAGTCTTATAAACGATGGTCGAGTTTATGCAGGCTAGTGGAGCCACACTATTCAATCTGTCATTACTGACAGCCGATATGTGGGCAGTGGTCATTCGTGTGTTTTTATACCACCAGAAGGTAATCTTTCCGAATGCACAGTCGGGACTCATTTCCTTTTCCCACGACTTTGACCATATACTCTGTTGCAGGTGGACTGGCTATACTACGTTTCTTTTTTACTCGTTGGCATCGGTCTTGTCATATATTCAAAACCGTAAGTCTAGTTCTCATGTTTCTGTTATTTCATTGGTCGCATCCTTCCTTTTACCAAACCAAAACTAAATAGAGATGGGGTCTAGGGGTAGGATGCATGCAAACGTTGCCTCTACCCGTTGGGGTGGAGAATCTATTTCCATGAAGACCCTCGGGTTGGAAGACTATTTGATTCCTATATAAAACTTGACTTGGTATAGGGACAAGCATACCTATGAGTTACCGGATGGTGAGACCGACCAACTGTACCAGGTGCTACCAGAGGAAGCCGTGCGAGTCAGAGTTGACAGTTGAGGCCACGGCGACATCAAAGTAGTAACGATGTCATTTGTATGTAAAGATTCATATTGTTTTATATTTACACCTTATTAGATTTGTTGGAAATAATACTTGCAACAAACCTTATTTTGGTAAGATATATGATACTCTATTTTTTGCTTGTGTATAGAAGACCATTTGTCTATTTTTTAATAAGAATATGAATTGTTCCTACAAATATTTAATCGATTACATATGGTAACCAAATACGATATTATGAAATTAATAATCTTAAAAAAATTAATATTACTCACTCTCACGGTGTGGTCCACCCTCTATCAAAGAAGAAAAGGAGTTCAGATAGCATGCGAGTTGGTTGAGTCTGATAGTATATTATCTTTGGCTGTGGAAACAAACGTTAGACGGCGAAACTGTTTTAAGGAAACTTGCCTCAACCATTTATGTTATTCTCATCTATTTCTGATAAAATATATAACCACCTCAATTATCTGTTACAATATGGTAGAAGTTAGTTTTATGCTTTCTGACACCTATAGAGAACTGGTATGCTTTGTTGATGATGAATCAAGTGCATTTACTTACGACATGGTAAAATTTCAATCATAAAAGTATCCCCTCCGATTTGATATTTTTTGGTTTGTTAACTATGGGTGTCCAGACCAGTTTGCACGCACATCGACTAATCCCAGTGAATCGGGAGAACATCCAAAAAAATCCATATTGCCATTTGAGCTAAACCTATCAGATTCTTAAGTTCGATATTTGAGGTAAGATACATTGATTTTCAAGTCCAAACGTCGTAGACTGCGTATTCTAGAGTTCGAACAAAAATATCAAATAAAATAAAATTTATTTTTATATTTTCGAAAAAGAAAATATAAAAACTCTCAGTTCGATTGGTTTAAGTGATCCAATATTTTCGTTTTCCTTGACAAAATTAAATTGTAACTTATTTTGTTTACATTTTATGAGGTGTTTGAGATTGCTTATATGAAGTGTTTATTAACTTATTCAGGTGTGCTACGGTAATAAGATGTTTTTAGTGTTTGGATGGAGAAAAAAGGAAAATATTTATACTGATTTGGCACTAGTAATAAATAGTTTTTGATAAGTTGTTATCTTCTGATTTATTAACTAATTCCAGTATGATATCGATAATAAAAAGTTTTTAGTGTTTAGATGGAAAAAAATATTTCATCTGTTTTATCAGCTTATCCTATATATTATAGTCGTAAACTAATCGAAAGATTTTATTAAGGGGGTGTTTGGGATTGCTTTATTTGAAACGACTTATTTTTTTCTACAAAAATATTTATCAACTTATTATAAGTGAGAAAGATTTAATTTTTTAGGGGGTGTTTGTGATTGCTTATGAAAACAACTTATTAACTTATTTCGGTTTGACACCGGTAATAAACACTTTGGAATGTTTGGATAAACAACTTATATCGGTACCAAACCGGTAATAAGAAGTTTTTGAAGAAGTTAAATACTTCTGACTTATAATAAATTGATAAGTGTTTTTGTAGAAAAAAATAAATTGTTTCAAATAAGCAATCCCAAACACCCCTTAAAAAAATTCTTATTATCAGTTTGGCACCGATATAAATTGTTTATCCAATCACTCAAAATGCTTATTATCATACTAAACCGAAATAAGTCAATAAATTGTTTTTTCTGCAAAATCCCCAACACCCCTCGAATCGTTTCTTTCTCGCAAGGATTCCCCATTTTCTAATGTAATACGGCAAAATTCGCCTAAAAATCCTTCCATTTTCAACTAATAAATCTTGTTTTTGCCAATTGGGGTTTTGAAGAAACCTAATTGAACTGCACGACTGATCGACGGAGACTGATTATGAGTTCCATCATAAGCAGGCTGGATGTAAACTATGTGGGGTTTTGGAGGGTGTTGTATGTTGTGTTACTGGGTCAATTGGCGTCTTTTTCAGTGGCCCTTATGAGCTTCAATTCATCTCTGTCTGCAAATCTAGGTTCAAAACCCCTATTTTCCCTCCACAAATTTAAGTGATGCTTTACCTGAGTTGTTATTTCTCCTTGAAATTTGATTGTTTCTTTTGGTTCTCTAGGTGTTAATGCACCATTTACTCTGGCATTCTTCTCTTATTTGGCTGTGACATTGGTCTTTGGAAGCATCTTGCTGTACCGTCGTCAATAGCTACATGTAAGTTTCCCTTCCTTGAATCCGAAACTTGATAATTCTGTATGGGTTTTGTTTTCATAGCTCTGAATCGCTTCTATTTCTGTTATAAATGAATTGAATCTTAGTTGTGGTTTACAGATCTCTTGGTCTTGGTATGCCCTGTTAGCATTTGTAGATGTCCAAGGCACATATCTTTGTAAGTAATAGTTGTGGGTGTGCTCATTGAGTTGAATATGGTGCGCCATTGGAATGAAATCTTAGGGGCCGTTTACTAAACGCCTACTTGGTAAGTGCTTACCGAATAAATTTCCTTATTGGATGAACATGACAAGGCCCAAGAATCTTACCAGGTAAGAGTGATGAGAAGAATGGAGAGTCTTACACGTGAAGTGAAGATTACGACTCTTACCCAGATAAGCGCTTAAATTGTTGCATTCAATATGTTTTGATGTACTAAAATCTTACTCATTAAAATAAATTATAGTGTTGACTCCTATAAGTAAGCATTTACCTGGTAAGCATTTGGGTAAACAGCCCCTTAGATATTGCAAACCATGCTTTAATAAACTAATTGTATAAATACACTTCATACATATCAGAGCAGTACAAGTAATGAAAGCTAATATTACAATCTAGAACCTTGTCATGAAGGTCAATTTCTATGTATTTCGTAGGTTCATGAAAAGTTGGATTGAATGCAAATTGAATAGAGGAGATATTGTCGTCGAATACCAAATTAGGAGCAACTGTAGAAATCCCAAAATCACATAAAAGCTGCTGCAATGCAACCATACTGTTTCACATATGACAGCTGCGATGACTCTTTATTCAGCCTCTGTGGAAGATCTGGAAACATTAGATTGTTTCTTAGATTTCCGGATGAAGCTCCAAAGAAAATGCAAAAGCCAATAATAGGCTGTCTAGTATGTATCAGAACTTGAAGTCCAATTCGGAACCACTGAAAAGCCTTTAAAGAAGACGGTGGCTTTATAGAACTAGTTGTGTACCTGCGCAATGCAGCATGATATGTAATTCGAGTAAATGTAAGCATGTATGCAGAGTGTGAATACGTTTTGACCAAATAAAACACAAGTTTGGTCCATCTTACGGTACGTAGAGTATGAGAACAGGTAGAAAGCAAAGTGATAGTGATGCTAAGGCTGAACACTTCCCAGATGAAGAGAACAGGCAGCTACAATCTTGATTGATTACCTACAAACCATCTGACAATTTAATTGATTGTGATTGCATAATATCATAAGTAAATAATTGTTTTTGTGGCTGATCACAGTTAACAAAGCATACCAATTTTCTTCGATCACCAGTGTGATGATACTTGATTGCTGCACAATTGTTTGGGTCATAATTCTCACTTGGATCTTTCTCGGCACCAAGTATTCCATACGCCAGTTTCTTGGGGCAGCTCTATGTGTTACGGGCCTATGTTTAGTGCTGCTTTCTGATTCCGAGGTGGGAGGTGGAGGTAAGAATACGAGTGGGAAGGAAAGGAGGTAAATTTCTTTTCTTAAAACACACCACGCTCTCAAATATATCTGTTTTGGTATTTTAGGTGGATCCAATCCTATTCTAGGTGATGTACTTGTGATTGCTGGGACATGTTTTTTTGCATTGAGCAATGTCGGTGAGGTTAGTTGTAATGTTTCCGTTTCTACTTGCACTCTCTCAGTCTACAAATGCTGGCAAACATAGAGCTAACCTTGTACCATATATACAATATACAGGAATTTTGTGTAGAGAAGGTTGGTCAGATTGAAGTAATAGCAATGTTTGGTTTATTTGGAATGCTTCTGAGCGTAGTTGAGATGTATCCTTTTTTGTTTAAAGTTGGTTTGAAGTTTCTTTTCCTTCGTAAACTACCAGAGGGTCAAATGTCGGTTTTCCATAACCATCCCTTAGGGCCGTATTTGAGAAGAAGAATCTCGAATCTGTATCCTGGTCTTCGGAAGTTGTAAGTGAATGTATTTCTTGAGATCGAACTTTAAACCAACAAAACACCATCTTTTGACCACAATCTTATCTTTCAGATTTTAACTTTTGCCGGGTATGGGATAGCAGGCTTTATGTATTATTCTTTGACGCCTCTCGTTCTACAGGTTTGTTAAATTCTCCATCTAATGAAAGAAAAACGTGAAAACCCGATTGATCGAGTCTTATAAACGATGGTCGAGTTTATGCAGGCAAGTGGAGCCACGCTATTCAATCTGTCATTACTGACGGCCGATATGTGGGCAGTGGTCATTCGTGTGTTCCTATACCACCAGAAGGTAATTTTTCCAAAGGAGCAGTTGGGACTCACTTTAACTCCTTTCCTTTTCGCGTCACTTTGACCATGTACTCGTTGCAGGTGGATGGGTTATACTACGTATCATTTTTACTCGTTGGTATCGGTCTCGTCATATATTCAAAACCGTAAGTCTAGTTTCCGAGCGCGAATTGGTGTATATATACATTTACACAGAAACAAAGCGATATGAATAAATAAATTGTTGCTATCATAATTTTATACACAAAACTCTCTTCATATTCACTAAAGTTGGTTATTTGAATCCAAGCGTTGTTAAAGCCTTAGTTTGTAGCCATCGAGGTTCACTTGCGATAACACCATGTCATTCGTGGTTGTCGTGGAGATTAGTCGGGACGCGTAAGCTGGTCTTGTAACATCCCAGACCATGCATACAGATATTGTCCGCTTGAGAGATTTAGGTTTTGATTTAGGATACCTAGACTCAAACTAGCGTTTTTCCAAGTGAATGAAAATGAGAATGTACGATTAGGCACTTTTAAGATAGGATATTTGGAGGTCGATAGAGACACTAGCATTGGAAATCATGATGATGGTAGCAAGGATCCTCATGTATGGTATGTTCATATTTGCACCTGGCCAGTATATTATTATGAATTACAGTTACATATATGTGTTTGAATCGTCCTGATTGATGATAGATGGGGGTAGCGAGTGATTTTTTTATTATAGAGCAT